TGGTTCCCTATTAACTGGTTTCTCCTTCTCCACCAGTGACCGCTGGAAGCAGGAGCATCTATGGAAATATTCTGTGGAGTGTTTGAGGAACTACATCACAGAGGATATGCTGGATATTTTCACTTCGTGAGATGCAGATCATGGACTTCTTTTCCATCTTCATCAACATGAACAATGTGGACACCATGAGGATGTAGGTTGTGTTTCGTTGGACGAACTGATCAGAGGCATTACGTGCGTCCGCACAGTGGAGGGGCACTGATATCTTGGGGGCACCGGTCGGTCATGCTCAGCAAATTAAACGGGAATTTTAAATGCCACTAATTAGTAAGGTCTTATCAATTTGTTTCCTCTCCATTTTCCTTTTCTCTCTTCTCTTTTATATATGTTTATCTGTTCCTCTGTGCTTATACATATTACATATACATAATTATATTTGCCTTCCGATTGGGGGAGATACATGCCCCCATGTGCCCCATTGCAGCTACGCCACTGGTACTTATTAAAGGAGAGCTTGTCTAACATTGTTGGTGACATTCGTTCAGCCACTCAACTACAAACATTCTGGCGATGTAAACTGTATTTCTCTACTGCTCCCTATGTACAGTTGTTGTTGGATGTATTTTGGGCGTTCAGTCAAAGTTGACTTCTTCCATTGAATCCAATTTAAAGAGAAGGTTGAGTTCTGGGAAGAGGTGAAAAATAATTTGTGAGCATTACTCATTCTTATTATGCAAGTATGGAAGAACATCAGTTAAGACATGTTCCCTGAAAAGCATGGCTCTTCAAATGCCATCATATTCTAAATATGCATGTAACATCGTAAAAATCGGGGGGGGGGGGGGCGGCTTTTTACGCTACGTGTTCGTGTAGTCCCATATACATCTTTCTGTGCAAGTGTTTGTAACTTTACCAAGACTTGGCCAAATTTCTTATCATTTTGATGATTCCAGAACCTTGCAATACACACAAATTCTTATATGCTAGATGATCAACCTTTTCTGGTCGGTTCCACATCGTTTCTTTCACAATGCTATCGCATGGCCAGAACTCAACTTCATCTTTAATAACCTCTACCGGTGCCATTTATGTATCATTAGTCAAAGAGTGTACTTTCAGCTTAAATAACCTGAGAAATCATCATTTGCTGTGCCTTCACCACAATATTTGTAAACAAACCTTTTTTAAATTCGTCTTTTTGTAAAACATGAAATGCATTACAAGGATACAACTCTAATGTATGTACAAGTAAATGTACATTTGCTTCACACGTTTTGATATGTCTTATTTGCTAATCACAATTTAAGTCCTTCGTGGAAAAGTAACAATGTTTTTTTTTTTAAATACAAATTATGTAACAGAACAGTCAAATCCTGTTGTATTTGTTTGTGTGTGTACACGAATGATTTTCCGAACGTTACAAAGATAACGCGGGAAATGAGTTAGTTTTAGTTCATTGGTTGTATTACTTGTAAAATGTTGAAGCGACAGGTGCTATTATTTGTACCCTGCGATTCTATTCAACGCGATATCTATGTAACATTTGAAAATATCACGTCTTACAAAATTCATTTCAATTTTCAATTCGTTTTATTAAACCATTTAAAATAAAAACAAGTATACAAATCATGCAGGGATGAACATTATTGATATACTGTAAATGATCAGGGTGCCCCTAAAAGCCGAGGCTTGAGTATTGGGGCACCCAATACATAATGAAATATCAAAAGAATAAACATGAGATACAAAGCAAACTTAAACAAAAAAACATTAAAACACTAAGCACTTAACATACAGCTAAGGGAAAATAGGAAAAGGTGAAATAAGAAAACGTAGGGAGGAGAGATAAAATCACATGTTTATTTGGCATAGGTAGTTATTATTGAACGTTTGAGTTTGGTTTCAAATGAAGTAATATTAATGCTGGAAATTACATCAGAAGGGAGGGAATTCCATATCCGAGGACCAGTAGATTTAAATGCAATAAGAGTTGACTGATTGAGTGCTAATGGAAATGGAATTTAGAGTGGGAACGGGTATTATATTGATGGCAATCTTCATTATACTGAAATAAATGTATTACATTACGACGTGCTAAATTATGTTTCACGTAATACATCAGGATCGCAATTTGGATTTTATGAATATAAAAAATAAGCATAACTTTATGAAATTCCCACATAATGCAGGAAATCTTACTACAATACTACTATATTGTGTTACTCAGTACGGGAGCCTAGTCAAATACAAACTATGCCTTTTATTTAAGCTCCCCTCATTTCACGTTGTTCTACCTTGCCTGTTATTTCTACATATTTCGAAATTTCGTACTTATTTTCCGTACATTATATTTGATTTGAAATCTTTATTTTTGTTTTCTTGTGTGAAATCTACTCTTATAATAATATACGCCTGTTAAAAAAGAAAGAAAAAATGATCTAAACTGATTTTCTATGTAAAATGTGGAATAAATAAAAATCCAAACTTCAAACTTCACACAATTAACATTAGGATGGCCAAGCAATAAATGTGTATGAAGATATTGTCAAAAGAAGTCAAGTTGCAATTTGTTGGAGAGAGGCTATATTGAAGTATTATAATAAATATATGCATGAAATAAAATGTTATAGCCTTACTGTGATATCTTTGATATTGTGTTGACTGAAAGAGGCACTAGTTACTAACTCTTGCTTGACAGATATACAAATCCAATAGTATTATTCTTTGAGATGGTAGTGCTTCATTGATGCGCTTTAATTATCAAACAGCGTAAATAGTGATAGAATCCGGAGATAGCACGTTAAAGGGATAATTGAGTTCTGTTGCAGAGGGTTCTACACAAAATAATTGTTCGTGATAAAATGAAAAACTGAGTGTCAAATTTGAAAGGACATACAATTGTTGTTTGATCAAAATCGGTTCAAAGATGGCTGAAATTTCACACATTTTGGCGTCTAAAACTACCTTCATAGCAACTTTAGGTTCTAAAAGGGCACTAGAAATGTCACAGATAAGAATAAGAGCAATAACCATGCACTTTGAAGGCATTTGCGGTCTGAAAACAGAACTCAACTGTCCCTTTAACAAAAGCAACAGCAAAACAACAACAAAAACAACGAATCAATAATATAACAACAAAAACAATCCCTAAAACAAAACACCAACAAACAAAGACCAAAAAAAATCACAAATCATAAGTTTTGTGAGATCACTTCAGGAGAAGCTATATAAAGGAAAATAATATAATATATGAGGATTCTTCTTGGGCTATGTTTTCTGTGCGTTTTGTTTTATCGTTATTTTGCTCATGTTAAGGGGTGATATTGGTAAAAGAGATCAACAGGCTCAGCTCCAATCACGTGATCATTTTTTCCTTCTTCATAAAACACATGATTGCTTGGCTTTATAGCTCAGATGATATTAAACGCAATGATGTAACAGACAATTAGCATTGAAATATCATTGACACTGACAGTTTTTGTGTGTCTTGGAATGCAAAATTATTTTGTTACAGGAAATGAAATACGAACCTACTTTGAAGCAATGCTTGTTAGATGAAGGTTCGCACAATAATTAGTTAAACTTCATCCATTCACAACTTAATTTTGGAGAAATTACGGAATAAATAAAAACATTACAGACAAAAAAAGAAAGAAACAAAAACAAATAAGAACAGTAGAAGAAAAAAATGAGTGAGGGAGTAACAAACAGAGAAAGCGGGAAAACAGCAGAAAGGGTCTGGAAGAAGAAGGAGACAGACAGAGAGAGACAAAAGAGGGGGTAAAGGGAGAGGGAGAGAGAGAGAGAGAGAGAGACAGGAGGGAGGGAAATAGAGAGAGAGAGAGAGATAGAGACAGAGACAGAGAGAGGGAAAGAGAGAGAGAGAGAGAGAGAGGGTTGCCATGGAGGAATGATTTTTGGGTAGTATGATATAGAAACCTACCTCTGTAAAGTTACATGAATATAGTAACAAAGCATTCAATCAAGAGCCCTGTTTTATAAAATGTTGCGATTGGTCCGAATCAATCGTAAGTCCTCTAATCACTCGCAAGATTGTAGTCCCCTCTCTTTCATGTACATCATTGCGATCGATATCAGTCGCAAATAAGTTGCAATTAATTCCAAATGTTTATATTAGTTGAGGCCCTTGTAACCAAAATAGCATATTTTATTTTTCTAGTTTCCTGCAATGTATGTACTTATTCACCACATGCATCCTACCGTGACGAAATCCCCCCCCCCCCCCCCCACGGGATCACGATGCGTCTTCATGCGACTTATTACTACTATTCTTAATATTGACAAAAGTAGGCCCGGAGCATAGACATTGTAAAGGCATACACAACTAATGTATGAACTGAATTTGTGTATGATTGGATTGCCGTCATGGTCCAACTAGTTGAACTTCTCATAGTTAGTCATTACAAATCCGTAGTTAGTCATTAAAATCTATTTCCATTGTAATTACATGCAGGCGCGGATCCAGGATTTCTTAGGGGAGGGGGCCCAACTTTTTTTTTTTTTTTGCTCCCGAAAATTTGAAAATCGCGCCGGCCGAAAAGTCGCTCAGTGGGGGTGGGGGGGGGGGGGGGATAGGTGGGTACAGAGCACAATTTTTTTTTTTTTTTTTTTTTTTTTTTTTTGCACCCGAAAATTTGAAAAACGCGCCGGCCAAAAAATCGCTCAGTGGGGGGGGGGGGGGGGGGGGGGGGGGGGGGGGGGGGGGGGGGGGGGAAAAGGGGGGGGGGGTAGTGAGCACATTTTTTTTTTTTTTTTTGATCCTCAAAAAAATTTCAATTTGCACCCCCCCCCCCCCCTTGAGCGCCAGGGGGGGGGCCCAACCCCCAAAAAAGGTAAAAATCACGTGATTTTACATGATTTTTTTCTCAAGGGGGGGGGGGGGGCCCGGGCCCCCCCCCCCCCTGGATCCGCCACTGATTACATGTCTCTGAAAATCAACACGTCACATGCTCTTTGAATTGCACTATTCGACAAATGCGTTCTGACGCGAAAGCCACAAAGCATTGAGAGGAAGGCCAGACTATTTAACACACTCGTACCCTACATTGCCTCTGTGTTATAGAGTACGTATATTATGCTTCTGGAACTATTATAATAGTATATGACGCGTCGCTGCATTCTAAACAATTAAAAGCGATCCAAAACTAGAATTGGAATGCGCATTTACCCTGGAATACCTTTTCAGCTCGAGTTAGTCAAGGAAATCTACCATCTTTTGTGCAAAGCCCATGTACTTAATTCCTTGTGTTGGTCATTTAAATTTTCGTTAGGGCAGTAAGATACCATTATTCTTCGGAGCCGACACAAGCATAGAATTTATTTTGTGGTCCTCTTTATTTCGCTCTTTCAATTAAATTAAAGATAAAGCTAAACTTTTCTGTACATCATGCGATTGTATTGAGAAAGAAACGGTGTAGAATCAAGAGAAAAAAGCTGATCATGTAGCATATAATTTAAGCATTGGTATGTACGGCAAGGTTCTGGAATCATCCAAATGATAAGAAATTTGGCCCAGTCTTGGTAAAAGTAACAAGCACTGTACATAGAAAGATGTCTATGGGACCACACAAACCTGTGGCATAAACTGTAGTCCTCATTTCAAAGCTGTTACATGTCATATCGAGAATATGAAGGCAATTAAAGAGCTATGCTTTTCAGGGAATATTTTTTCTCTGATGTTGTTCCCCTATAAGTCAGTTCATAGTTGAGCATGAGCAGATAAAGGTCATTGGAGGCCAAATTGTGAAATATACGGACACAAAGTACTACGTGCTCATGAAAAGTATTCATATTATTATATGCACTCCATGATACAAAGGTGAAAGTATTCTTTGAAAAGGGGGAAACAAGGGCTATCTATGTAGCACCTCCATCGCTGTAGGAGTGATTATTACAAAATGTACACAGTGGGACCTCTTCATGTCTTGAAGATCTGTCCCATATTCGGGGTCATTTTGGACATTTGCTATTCCGTGAACTGGTTTATTGCATAATAATAATGATAACGCTCACAAATTAAATCGTTATTCACCTCTCCCCAGAACTTAACCTTCTATGGAATACGTTGTATACTGGATATGCGCCTGCATTGCCTTCCTTCGATGAAACAGTCTGCCCAAATGAATTGCTTGACTGAATAGACGTCAGATACAAGTCAGGGAATCGTCGTGTATATACAGTACAACATCTTCGTTCTGCAGTTTAAACTATTAGAGGTATACGATGGGGACTAGTTTAACGTCACAAAAGCCTGTTCCAGATGTCGATCTAACTCAGAAGACCGTGATTGTCACTGGAGCAAACACAGGTATGTGATTCGCACTTAAAGATAAAGTTGAGAAAGATGTATATGGGACTACACTAACATATGGCATACAAATTCGTCTCATTCTGTATGATGTTACATGCCATATTTAGAATATTAAGGTATTTGAAGAGCCATGTTTTTCAGGGAGCATTTTTTTAATCTAATGTTCTTTCAGAGTTGCATAATACAATGATCACTCACAAACTATTTGTCACCTCTTCCCAGAACTCAACCTTCTCTATAACTCTTTATACGCCTCATAATCTCCCTGCCGTGTGCCAATTATCATTGAAATAGCCTATACTAAGGCTTGAAGATTAATGTAAAGGTTAAAACGAACCTTGATAGAAAACGAGGTCTACTCAAAACAGAAAACATGAGGGATATCAGAGAAGCAGACTGGTGAAGTTTGAACGAAATCGGCCAAAAAGTGAGAAAGTTATGATTTTGGGAAATATATTCAATTCAATTCAATTCAATTTTATTTCAAATCTCTTTAAAAACACATCAAAAGATATACAAAGAAATCAGTACAAATTAAACAATATGAATATAAAAACATTCATTAACATGGTACTGTGAAAGAAGGATGAAGGGTGGTGGATGCGAGGGATCAACAAAGGCCATTGGCCTGTCAAGGTTGATCCCCTATGTTACCATCCTTCAAAAGAAATACATTATACAATATATAAAAAACATAAAAAACAATAAAACAAACAGAAAATATAACATAGTATAATCACATATAAACACAACACTACATAAATCATATAAAAGGCAATTAGATCAAATAAAACTACTCACTATTAAGAAGATAACATTTATATTTTTCCTGAATGCAAGAACAGTGAATATTTCTTTTAATACATTGGCAACTCGTTCCAAAGCTGTGGGCCTTTAAAACTTACTGTAGTTCTTGAAAAGTTAAAATGATAAAATTATAAAAAGGTACATACATTTTATGTAAATCATATATTTTTGTTATTGACAAACGGGGGAGTTATCCGTCACTACGTCAGCATCAACTTACCAATGTGACACCAAACTGCCAATTTGAGATTTGCATAAGCTCAGTGATTTCATATTACAAACATCCATAACTTTTTTTTTTTTATTATTGGTCCGATTTATTTCAAAATTCCGCCTTTCTTTTTCTCTGATTTTATTTTTAACCTTTCATTCAAATGAACTTTTTCAAGAGTTGAATTTCCTTTGTGTTTTCACTGCAAGTTTAATTTAATAGGGTGTTAAAATTGTTTTATATATTATGTAACACAATGTATTATGTAAAGGAAACCTTAATTACAAGCATAATGCTTCCAAGGTTTCCTCCTCATTACTGCAGATAATTGTTAGCATCATATGTATTTAATGACTTGCCATTGCATCGTTTTTATTACTGTTGTACAAATCGAATATTATGTACATGTTTTGTTACCTTGTAAATGCCTTACTTTGTAATTTTTTTTCATATGCAGTTTATGTGGAAATAAAACCTAAATAAATAACAAATAAAAGATAATCAAGATCAGAAATAGGTGACTAATTTTGTGCATGGACACCTTCACCTAGCCAACTATACCCTTTAAAAAGACCAATGCTTCCACTCGTCAACATTTTTTCCTGAAATAGAACACCATTTCCCCGAAATTTGATGGCATTTCCTGAAGTTTTTCTATTAGCCTCTTACTGTTTTTTTTTCTTCCATGAATTGACATGTATTCGCTTCAAATCTGTTTTTTTTTAATAATTTGTTCAGATTTACATAATTTTGTCATGTATCAATATGATCATTGCAAACCTTTATCATTCAACCCGTGCCCACCCTAATCTTATTTCATTTTGGTATCAGGAATCGGGTATGAGACTGCAAAAGCATTAGCCCAGCTGGGGGCAAAGGTCATTGTGGCTTGTAGATCCGAAGCCAAAGCAAATGAAGTAAGTGAGCTTTAATCTCCTAATAGAAGTACGTGTAAACATTGATATTTGTTTTCTTTGAGTGGTTAAAATGGAAATACATTTATAGAGGTGTCGTTGTATAGTGAATCGTTCACTTGACTCTTAATCCAAGGGTTGAGGGTTGGAATCCCAGCCCAGCACTATTACGTTCTTTTGAACGACATTAATGCACATTTGATGGTAACCCGACACATGCTCCGCCGACGATTGCTCCACCGACATTTACTCCGAAAAACGCGACATATTGCTCCGCGACATTTGCTCCGCGACATTTGCTCCGCCGACATTTGCTCCGCCGACATTAGCTCCGCCGACAATTGCTCCGCCGACAATTGCTCCGCCGACATTTGCTCCACCGACAATTGCTCCGCCGACAATTGCTCCGCAAAACGCGACAATTGCTCCGGTGACAAATGCTCCTCGAACGACAGTTGCTCCGCCGACAATTGCTCCACCGACATTTGCTCCGCCGACAATTGCTCCGCCGACAATTGCTCCGCGCGCATTTTTTTACTTTAAATTGACCGGACGGATATTGACCTTAATCATGATAAATATGAATGAGAAAAAACTGTTGGTTATGAAGATATGATCATGAGTTGATTTTCCGAAAATTTTACAAAATGGCGCCTAGATGACGTCATCAGTCAAGGTCAATGTTGAAAACGTTATTGTGCTTTGTACATATGCCTATACATATGTGTGCCAAATTTGAAGGCATTTGATGGAGCCATTTAAAGTCATCGTGCTTACAAAAAAGTGGTTAGAAATAAGAAAAATAACTAGATTTGTAATACTTGTTTGGAACAAGTATAGGTGGGCTGGTCCAACTAAAATTTGAGACAAATGAAGGGCACATTTGAGATAGCTAATTGTCTCAGCTACAACATACTCAAAGTTCAGCGTAAGCGAAGCTAAAACGACGGAGATATTGCTCGCGAAAGACGGGAATGCAGAATCCAGTTTTGAGAAAAAGTCATGTCCCATTGAGAATACACGCAAAAAGAGAAAAATTGACATGCCTCCTTTAATCGCAAAAATACGTCATGATTCCTTTGTCGAAATGAAAAATCATGTCAATAGCATTTGTAGTGAATTATCTCAGCTAGAACATATCGAAATTTGGAAGAAAATCAATCAACATTTACAGAGATACAATCAATTTTCAAAAAATATGCTGATGTCATAATATGCAAATTGGAATTTTGAGTTCGGAGGCCATTATGATGACGTCATGAGTTAATTGAAAAATATGAAACAAAATTTGGGGTCACCTTACATCCTAAAGAGCTACAATGGATTTTGTATAGGCATGTTTTTGCCCGTATATGCTATGTATTACAAGAGCTCGCACGCACGGACGTGTATTTTAAACGGACGCTCACTCCGTTATTAATGGTCAGAAATATGTTAACAAGGTATCGAAATGCTTGGGAAAATGTGCCAAATATGATGACAAAGAAAAATTGGCGATTCTTTGTTGCAAAATGGCGCCTAGATGACGTCATCAGTGAAGGTCATAGTTGACAACCTTATAGTGTTTTGTATATATGCCTGTACATATGTGTGCCAAATTTGAAGGCATTTGATTGAGCCATTTTCAAGTAATCGTGCTTACATGAAAGTGGTTTGAAATAAGTAAAATAAATAATAAAGGCAATTCTAACGAAATTATAAGGTGGTCTGTACGATACACAGCCCACCTGATAATAAAGGCAATTTAAAAAAAAAAATTATCAGGTGGTCTGTATTAGATACAGCCCACTTAATAATAAAGGCAATTATAACAAAATTATAAGGTGGTCTGTATTAGTTACAGCCCACCTGATAAATAAATAAAGGCAATTCTAACGAAATTATAAGGTGGTCTGTACGATATACAGCCCACCTGATAAATAAATAAAGGTAATTAATTCTAACGAAATTATAAGGTGGTCTGTACGATATACAGCCCACCTGATGAATAAATAAATAATAAAGGCAATTCTAACGAAATTATAAGGTGGTCTGCATGCGGGAGCGTACACCACAGGGGGGGGGGGGGGTGTTTGGGGGGTTAACCCCCCCCCCCCCCTCTTTGGTATTTTTATGTGTATAAACCACCCCCATCACCCCCTAAACCCCCCCCCCCCCCACCCCCCAGTGGAGCGAAATGTCAAATTTTCAAATTTCGAGACCAAAAAAGATAGAAAAAAGTGTCCTCTTACCCCCCATACCGAATAGCACTAGCTCACATTTTGTTACTGTTGTCAAGAACTTATTGTCATGCAGCCAGTAGATTTTCATCATGTGTTTGATCTTGTATTGAAAAAAGATCAAACACATCATCATAATCTACAGAGTGCAACCAAAAAATTCTTAACAACAATTGAAATTTCTTTCAGGAAGCCTAACACTAAAAGCTGTTTTTGATTCAAAGAGCATCGTAGAGACGATGAACAAATAAGAATAATAATACATTCACTAATACATTTTCAATAATACATTTTCCCCGCCAAATAATCCGAACAAAAAAATCAACCGAGGGTAATCAACTGTTAAACGAATGTATCATGAGTCCTTGAAAAATTAATTAATACTGCTTGTCAAATATTATTGAAGAACAGCAAAGGCGAACGCGATTGTCGCTACAATTCAGAAATCATTGCTTGCATTGCTTTTCTCTCAAAATTACCGTGAGATATCAAGCTTCATAGAACTATGATCGACACAAAAGATATTGTCTTAAAAACAGTCAGAAACATTAGAACTTGAATGAATAAAACATAATGCAAATGAATAAGACTAGAATGAATAGGACACAAGTTAATTTCTACCATTTAAATCATCCAGTACCAAATACCTGAGCAAAATTCGAACCAGATGCATTTAATGGTAAGCTTAAAAACAATGATTCATGACAATTGTCAATTGTCATGAGTTTATCGTCTAGACGTATTGCAAAAGATAATCAGAATAATAATGATCAGAATGATACCTCTACTATTAGGCCTATTTTTTCATGTACTATACTACACTAATGCAATTGTAGATTATGCTGATAATACAGATGATAATAATGATATGATAACAATTATAATAATACTATATACTTATACTAATCGTCATCAAAATCATTATGTTCATATTCATCATAAAGATAACAATAATAATGATTATAATAATTACAATAATAACTTATATTAACGATAATAATCATGATAAGGATAATAATCACAATAACAAACATAATAATTACAAAAATAACATTAGTAACACCACAAACCATAATAATCATTGTTGTCATTATTATTGTGATACTGCTTGTAGTACTACTCCTACTACATGTACTAGGAAGAAGGAGGGGAAGAGGAAGAGTTTTATTGTTTATTTTTTGTATTATCGAAGCATACAAATGCACAGGGAGGTAAGAGAGGAAAAAGTAAGGCGACGAAGAGGGAGAGAGAGGGAGAGAGAACGAGAGGGGGTAGCCTATGGCCCGGGTTCAAATTCAGTTCTCTTTAATTTATTTGATCCAGTACTGATGATCATAATTGTATCTACCATGTGATTGCCAAGTGTACTCCACACCAAATAGCACTAGCTCACATTTTGTTATTGTTGTCAAGAACTTATTGGCATGCAGTCAGTAGATTTTCATCATGTGTTTGATCTTGTATTGAAAAAAAGATCAAACACGTCATCATAATCTACAGAGTGCAACCAAAAAATTCTTAACAACAATTGAAATTTCTTTCAGGAAGCCTAACACTAAAAGCTGTTTTTGATTCAAAGAGCATCGTAGAGACGATGAACAAATAAGAATAATAATACATTCACTAATACATTTTCAATAATACATTTTCCCCACCAAATAATCCGAACAAAAGAATCAACCGAGGGTAATCAACTGTTAAACGAATGTATCATGAGTCCTTGAAAAATTAATTAATACTGCTTGTCAAATATTATTGAAGAACAAAAAAAGGCGAACGCGATTGTCGCTTCAATTCAGAAATCATTGCTTGCATTGCTTTTCTCTCAAAATTACCGTGAGATATCAAGCTACATAGAACTATGATCGACAAAAAATATTGTCTTAAAAACAGTCAGAAACATTAGAACTTGAATGAATAAAACATAATGCAAATGAATAAGACTAGAATGAATAGGACACAAGTTAATTTCTACCATTTAAATCATCCAGTACCAAATACCTAAGCAAAATTCGAACCAGATGCATTTAATGGTAAGCTTAAAGACAATGATTCATGACAATTGAAAATTGTCGTAAGTTTATCGTCTATATAGACGTATTGCAAAAGATAATCATCTTAATAAGGATCAGAATGATACCTCTACTACTAGGTCTACTTTTACATGACTATACTACTGCCATTGTAGAATATGCTGATAATACAGATGATAATAATGATATGATTAACAATTATAACTAGACTTTAATTCGTCACTTTGACGAATTAGGTGATACGTATGCTATTTTTGTATCATGAAAGTGTGCCGATGATGATCTAATGATAATATTCATAAATACGATAATAAAGATATTGATGATGATGATTTATTTGTTTTAAATGACGATGACAATGATTAAAAGTGGTATAGCGCCCCCTTCAGGTATTCGATAGACAATTGTTATATAATTAATTTACTAAACAAGCTCAAATTTTCGCCTGATTGCAGAGCCTACCAATCATTGAACTGATATTTCGACGCACTACATACGCAACATAATGAATAAGTCTAGACCGGAATGTAGTATCATTCACCTCCCATAGGCATAAGACGCATATTAAGCAAACAATCTAATGACGTCATCAAAATGAATACATATTGGTAATAATCTTGTGAAGAATTGTCTCAGCTACAGCGTATCAAAATTTAGAAGAAAAAAATGATCAATATTTGCAGAGATAAAATCATTTTCTGTAAATATGTTGACGTCATAATATGCAAATTCGTATTTTGACTTCCAAGGC